AATATAATAAAAATAAATCTTAAATATAAATATATATATATATATATATATATATATATATATAATTTTTTATTTTCGAGTTAAAATGAGTTAAACATGATTGAACAAAATAAATGTTCAGCTCATTTACTTAGCGAACGATATCCACGTAAGCTCTTTAATGAGTTGGACACGAATTACGAGTTATTTATTTATTTTATTTTTCGGTCTGGTTGTTGAACCGGTAAGGACGGTTCGCTCCGCTCACATTATTTGGGTTACAAGCTTCTCCTCTGATCTTCCTCTTCCTCCTTTCTCCGGTGATCGATTAGCTCTTCTGCAAGGAAGCCGAAGAGTCGAATCCCCTTTGGGATAAAGTTTTCTGGGTAGATGTTACTTCTCAGTGATTTTCCAATTGTTCTATTTGTTTATTTGACGTCCATGGATGCTTTAATGTCCATATAATGTTCTATTTGTTCTTTTCTCTTTTGCTCTTTTTCTTTCATTTTTAACTTTCATATTACTATCATTGATGCTGAATTTTTTTTTTAGTTGCTTTGTTCTTGATGTAAAGAACAGATACTTGTTTTTTTACTTCTCCGGATCTATATTTTGTTTGATGCTTTAGGAAGGAAGGTGGTTAAGAATTCGCCCTAGCTGATCTTCCAAGCCTTCAATAGAGTTTGATTTATGTACTCTACGGGGTTATGCTGTATAGTAAAAAAAAACCGCATGATTCAGGATGTGAGTGCTACATTTTACTTGGTGAATGATCGTGTTTTAAATTTCACATGAGGCAATGCTTTATGGAGCTAAATGTTGGCCCTTAAAAGAGAAGAATAAAATTAAGTGTTGTGGAGATGAGAATGTATAGGGGGATGAGTGGCTTGACACACAGACAAAACGAGAAACAAATGTCCAGTGGAAGACAAGATTACGGAGGGTCGACTTAGATGATTTTGTTATATTAAATGTCGATCATCTGAAGGTCTGGTTAGGAGAATAGATGTTTTAAATTCGATTTATGTTAAGCAAGGTAGAGATAGACCTACAAAGACTTGGACATATTTTTATAAAAAAATGATCTTGATTTATTAGAATTAAATGAAAATACGACATTCAATTGGTCACAATGGAGAAATAGGATTCATTTGGCCAAACCCACTTAGTGGTATAGAGAATTGTTGTTGTTGTTATATAGTTGAGTTTAGTTGCCAAGTATTTTGAATGGCATTGGATTCTGAGTATGAGCTTTTACATGTATTTTTCTTGAGTTCGTTTTTGGTTGCGTGTAGATTAAAACAAATTTTGGGGCTATGTATAGATATGATGGCATATATTTAAAAATTGGAGTTTAGATGTTGGCTATCTAAATGCATAAGAATTGAGTAGCATGTATGTAAAGCATTCTTTTTTTCTGTTTAATTGTCTGCGGTTTTATTTGTTAGTTTATTAATTGGGTTACATTGTCTGATTGAAGGTTTAATGTTTTTTCTCTTGTAATCATATTCATGATATGATATGTGATATATTAGTTTAAGGTTGATGGAGTGTTGAATATAGCTTTGTGCCTATTTCTTGTGATTTATATGCAAGCACTGTACCAAATTGCCATAAGTTTGTCAAGCTTGTATCCAATTTTTTCAGAACTTTGTAATATCACTTTTGTCAATTTGTCATGTTTATTGTTTCTATGTTCTCTGCGGTTCTTGTGCTTCAGCAACAAATTAGTTGTATTTGAATTGATTTGGTAGACTTGTTCTGTACCTTCTGTCTATTTTCATCATATCAATTCCCCATAAATAGTTGGATTTTAGTTTGATATTGGTCTATATTGTTCAACTTCTCGAAAGAAATGCATGCCTTGTGACTTGTAAATAGGGGTGAGCATTCGGCTGTTTTGGATGGATCAATTTTCAAATTTGTCATACTGATTGCAACCAAAATCCGAAATCCGAAAAATAGAACCAATTAAAATTTTAATAAAGCTGAACTAGCCGAATCAAAATTTAATTGGGTTTAAACGGTTATGTTATAAGCAAATTGAAATTTAGTTAGTAGGAATTCAACTATGAACACATATAAAGCATTGCATATCTTACATGTATGATATCGATTTAATTTGATCGATCCTCCATTTAATTTCAAATTTTTGGCTTTTTGGTTTATTCGGTTGAATACAAATTAAAATAAATCCCATAATTGAAAACTGAATATAGAGTTTTTTTCTTAAAAAAAACCGAAATACATTTTGAAACCGAAAATCAACTCAAAATTTTTTTTTCTGACTAATAATGCTGCACACTCCTACCGTAAATCCTACATCCTTGGGTTCATGGTGGGAAATAGGATAAAATAGAAATTTTCAATACAATATATGGTTTTTTATGAAATAATTTAGCACCTGATTTTTCTTACCATGAGTTCAAATCCCCTTCAAATCAGCAAATTGGAATACTTCATATCCATGAGTATAACTGTAATTCGTGCAGTTAGGAGTTCATATCCCGCCATCTTTGCCAGCAGATTCCCACTCCTTATAGGAACTTGTTTGAGAAACCTATGTAAACACATTTGAAAATTTGCATGTTCTTTAATTATTTGTACCTGGATTTTTTCTCAGCATTTGACAGCTCTACACCATCGTGCAGAAGTTATATTTTTTCCGTGTCTGACATTTTTTATTGGGGCATTTAACTGCGTACCGCCAAATTCCTATTTTTTTACATATCTATCGAAATCTTTCACATCAAACAAAAAAATACCACTACTTTACCTTTGAAAAAGTGAAATACACCTTTTTACTCATAGGTAAGTTGGCATGTTTGTAAAAATTGAAGTTTAGTTGTTAGATATGTAAATACGAAATTGAGTGGTATGTAGGTAAATCTTCCTCTTTTATTTTATTAAATTGTTCTATCTCATGCATAATACCTTACATTAGTCAAACCTTTTTCTTCGTCTTTGTCTGAAGTTTACATCATTAGATGGAGAGGAAGACTATTGGCACTAAAAGAAAAAAGCTGCATTTGTGATGTGTGGAATCAGCTTTATTTGTACTCTTTCATTATCTTAAATGAAACTCAAGGTATACCTTGAAAACAAAGCTGTTTATATTGTCCAAATAATGATGAGATCATGGGTCCCTAATGTTTTGATATTTCCCCCGACTCTGATCACTAATTTTTTGTGAATTTTTACATCATTACCCAAAGGTTAATTAGCGGTTTGATAATGTTTGAAGGACCTGATGGTAACAGAATTTGGTGATAATGATGAACAAGCCTTTCATTTTTGGTTTTTTTATTGTGTAAGCTTTTTGATAAAGGGTAGCTAGTTTGAATGTCCCAGGGGTGAAAACATGAAAATTTTTTAGCTAGATATAGTTTCCTAATTTCTTGTAAACCTATGTAGTTATATTTTTTCTGTGTCATGATCTGTGATCCTCTGCAGATTACTTAGCTAAACAAACATCCAATGTTGATGAATGCTAGCAAAGCAAGTGAAGGGAAAAGACAGTCTGCCCGTCTTCCTAGGAAACGCTTCTACAGGGCACGAGCTCATAGCAATCCTCTAAGTGATTCTCACTTCCCCATTCCCATTAGCCCTGCCGACGTAGATTACCTCTCGCATTACCCTCATTTTTCGCATTCCAGTAAGGCTGATACCGAGAAAGATGAGGTGGTTTTTCCAAAAATTCGTTTTGCGGACATTGGATGTGGATTTGGTGGATTGCTTGTTAAACTTTCACCTCTATTCCCAGACACTTTGATGATTGGAATGGAGCTCAGGGATAAGGTGAGTGTTTAGACTCTGACAGTAGTTTGCAATTTTTTGATCACCACCACTTTAACTTTGAAAAAGTGAAATACACCTTTTTACTCATAGGTAAGTTGGCATGTTTGTAAAAATTGAAGTTTAGTTGTTAGATATGTAAATACGAAATTGAGTGGTATGTAAAAATCTTCCTCTTTTATTTTTGTAAAGTGTTCTATCTCATATATAATACCTTACATTAGTCAAACCTTTTTCTTCGTCTTTGTCTGAAGTTTACATCATTAGATGGAGAGGAAGACTATTGGCACTAAAAGAAAAAAGCTGCATTTGTGATGTGTGGAATCAGCTTTATTTGTACTCTTTCATTATCTTAAATGAAACTCAAGGTATACCTTGAAAACAAAGCTGTTTATATTGTCCAAATAATGATGAGATCATGGGTCCCTAATGTTTTGATATTTCCCCCGACTCTGATCACTAATTTTTTGTGAATTTTTACATCATTACCCAAAGGTTAATTAGCGGTTTGATAATGTTTGAAGGACCTGATGGTAACAGAATTTGGTGATAATGATGAATAAGCCTTTCATTTTTGGTTTTTTTATTTTGTAAGCTTTTTGATAAAGGGTAGCTAGTTTGAATGTCCCAGGGGTGAAAACATGAAAATTTTTTAGCTAGATATAGTTTCCTAATTTCTTGTAAACCTATGTAGTTATATTTTTTCTGTGTCATGATCTGTGATCCTCTGCAGATTACTTAGCTAAACAAACATCCAATGTTGATGAATGCTAGCAAAGCAAGTGAAGGGAAAAGACAGTCTGCCCGTCTTCCTAGGAAACGCTTCTACAGGGCACGAGCTCATAGCAATCCTCTAAGTGATTCTCACTTCCCCATTCCCATTAGCCCTGCCGACGTAGATTACCTCTCGCATTACCCTCATTTTTCGCATTCCAGTAAGGCTGATACCGAGAAAGATGTGGTTTTTCCAAAAATTCGTTTTGCGGACATTGGATGTGGATTTGGTGGATTGCTTGTTAAACTTTCACCTCTATTCCCAGACACTTTGATGATTGGAATGGAGCTCAGGGATAAGGTGAGTGTTTAGACTCTGACAGTAGTTTGCAATTTTTTGATCTTTTATTCTCATCATCATTTATCAAGTTGATAATAACCAAAATGTGAGTTTTAACACAGACAAACACGCACAATACTCCTTTTTAATATATTTATGTATGTATGTATGTATGTATGTATGGAAGATTTACTTGGATACCACTCAATTCTCATGTATTTACATATCTAATCCTAAACTTCAATTTTTATATTTTACTTTTAACAATAAAAATAGGGTTATGTTTTATGTGATATAAATCATTTGAGTGGTATAATCGTAAAAAGGAAAGTTTAGTTATTAGATATGTAAATACATATTGGGCGCTATGCATGTGTAATATCCCAATACATACGTGTGTGTGTGATATAGTGATATGGTAGAAAACAGACTTCAGGCAGTTGAACATAGATCTATTAAAGGGTTTGGTTATAATCATATCTGATCCGAGTTAATTAACATGATAAATAAGCTAATTTGCAGATTTGAAATCTTACTTGATTATAGAATTGCTCCATTTGTAGCAATATTGAATGGATTTTGGTTGATTTCAGCCTAACCAGCTTAAGACTCGATCGGAAATTTGTGTATACTTGTTAGTAGCTTATGGTAAACTACCGAGCAGTAAGTTTTAAGCTTAACACCTCCACCATTAGCTTTTTATGCATCTCATTCATGTGCTTTATTTATTGTTAGTTATAAAAAATAATTGAAAAGAACTTCAGCCTCCTTTGCTTTGATTTTGTTTGGTTCAGCTAAGTTTCTTTAAAAAGTCGTGTAGCGGAACGGACATCTTTATCTCTGTTTTAAAATGGGAAAAATTGCTGTTTCATTGAACTAATTTAGGGAGACGGGATATGCTATTTTATCAAACGAAATATAAATTTATGACTCGGTGTACACTCAACGGAATGGAGCATGACTGTTTTCTCAAACAAATCCTTAATCTTATGCTCTAGTTAGTTACGTTGCTTTTTAGAGCTGATTTGCTCGATCTTTCCGATACGAACTATCATCATCACCAAGAGCATGTAACCATCATCTCTTTTTAAAGCCTATCCAAATTTTAATCCGACCTTGGTTTTGTGACATGTAGGATAAAAAAATGAACTCATAACATGCACGACGTTCAGTAAGAAGATATTGTAGACTAAATTTAATATCTTTTATAAAACTCAAACAAACGAATAAGAATGATTTTACGAAGCATATTTATAGTCAGAGTAAGATTAATACTGATGATGGTGATATAATCTTATGTTGCTTTCAGATAGCAGTGGATATTTGGCTTAAAAACAGCAAAGAGAAACAATCGTTTCACTGTTTTTTACCAAATTTAATGTTAAAGAAAAGAAAATAAAATGATAGGAAAGAAAGCTTATTAATAGGAGTATTTACATACATTCCCCCAAGTCTTATGCATTTACACATCTAAAACCTAAACTACTTTTTTACGTTATGTATCCTCCACAATGCAGGTGTCTGAATATGTGAAAGAGAGAATCTTAGCTCTCAGAGCAGCAAATCCTGGCCAATATGAGAACATCTCCGTCGTTCGAACAAACTCCATGAAATACCTTCCTAATTACTTCTGCAAGGCCCAGTTATCGAAGATGTTCTTTCTGTTTCCTGATCCTCATTTCAAGGAGAAGAATCACAGGCGTAGGGTTATCAGCCTTCAGCTACTTGATGAATACGCCTTTGTGCTGGAACTAGGAGGCATCATTTATACAATAACTGATGTGGAAGAGCTCGGAGATTGGATGAAGTTCTGCTTGGATAGCCATCCTCTTTTCTCTGCAGTTCCTGAAGAAGAATTGGAGTCTGATCCAGTGGTGAAGTTGTTGGTTTGCGCTACAGAGGAAGGTCAGAAGGTTGCTAGGAATGGAGGTCAGACTTTTTGTGCTGTTTTTAGACGTGTAGCAGCGGATGAGGCTTCTGATTCTATAAAAGGTTTATGCAAAGGAAACTGTATTTAACTCTTAGAAAGTTAATGATGGCGATGTTCTTGTATTGATTTTAAAAATGTATATATATATATATATATGAATGTTTAGTTAGACTATAAATACATAAGCATTGTTTGGTATTTATGTAAATGCCCCTTTAAATTTTCTTATTTGAAGGAGGATTCTTTTTAGAAAACTTTTCTTGATTTATTTGATCTATTTAACTCTAGATTTTGATGTTTTGTTGCACGCCAAGCTCGCATTTAAATGTAAAATTTTCAAGAAATATTATTATGAAGAATTTTTATTCATTCCATACAATTCTTGCGCATTATTATATGATGACATAATATATTCTACCATCAATAATATGGAGCATTCCACTGCATAGAAAAAAATCAAAATGTCATTTTTTAAGAATTAGTATGACAAATTAAAAATATTATTGAAGTAATGCTAAGAAAATCAATTGTTATATAAATAGGAAAAATAAAATAAGTGTTGAATGTATAAAAATGTAAAAATTATTTGGCATGTATGTAAATGCCTTGACATTTTCCATTTATTATTAAATATAAACTTGAGCATCACTCTGGCCATTAACCACTAACCAATATCTGAAGTAAAAAGTTGGCAATCGAGACAAAAGGTTTCCACAAAGATGATTCAAGCAGCGCTGCGCATGAAAATTACACTTTTCAGCATAATCAACAGAAAATCATCTTGTGTTGCATGAAAAGCATAATCAAGGTAAAATTTAAGCATTATATGGCTCACAAAGTATACTGCAACTGTACATGAAAGTTCTCATTTTAATAATTTTAATAGTTTGTATATGGATAACATTTCACCTTTCCTACCTAATTCTTTCCACTATTATCAGCTATTTACACCCACAATCTATCACTACGTATACCTCTATGATCAAATAAAATACTAAAACTATAATTTACATAATTCTACCCAACATTCCTTCGATGCAATACTTGAACACCCCATCTTTTCTCCTTCCCCAGCTCAATTGTAGCCAACAAGACCTGCAAAACATCTTCAGCTTCTTCTACGTTACCGAACTCCACACTCATGCAGACAAGAGGTGCAGAACTTGAACTCCCAGATTTGAAGCCTTTCTTGTGCCTAAATGTAATATCAGCATTGTTTCCAACAATATTCAAGGTATAATCAGATCTATCTACATGAACAACACTCTCCAAACTCATTTCCTTTTCTATAAACCATGTAGGATTAGCTGGAACACCGGCAAAGTTCGTCGAGTTGAAACCCACCAAACAGGAGGTTGATACAACCAGGACGAGCTTCTCGCTGATAACTATGAAGCTACCTGCCATTCTAAGCGCTTTGCATGTGACATATACCTCATCCTTAAGCCTGGCCGTATTGGCTTGTTGAAGCACGGAGACACCGATGGCTTCTTCCCATGAGTAGGGCGACAGGGGAAGCTCCCTAGACAAAGGCCGAGGAAGACGCGTGCGGCGCCGGTTGGATAGGTGAGGGCTGCTTCTATTTCTGATGCTCTGTGCGGTTTTCGTTGTTGCTTCGAGAATGCTAGCTATTGGTCTTGCCACAAGTCCGGTTGTTCCCATTGCGATACCTGAGAGGTAAATCTTTGAGAATGAAGATATGCATATTCTAAATCCGGAGTTAGTAAATCCAGGATTTACGATAAAAACATGGAAGAATTGAGGCGAAAGTAGATCTACCAGATATGCATATTCTAAATCCGGAGTTAGTAAATCCTCCAGGATTTACGATAAAAACATGGAAGAATTGAGATGAAAGTAGATCTGCTATAAATCCAGAATTTAAATTTACATTTTTTTATTTTTGTCTGGCAGATTCAAGTTGACGGCTCGTAAATAAGAAGGTTAAATATATGTTTACCTGATAGAACACCGGGAAGGCCATGCTTCTCGGCACCTCTGATTGGAGACTGAAGAAGTCCAGTAAGGCCCTGTAAGGGGGTGGAGATTTATAAGTATTGAGCAAACGAGTTTCTGTTAACAGTTGTGACATAGCAAGCCATTTTAGTGACGAAGGCACCACCGAAAATTCTCCATTTGAACGTAAAATTAATATATGATGGAAAAATGCTTTATATATCTTTTGTGTGCATTGTGAAGCAAATATTTAATCATAGATTAATTACAAAATTGAAATTTGATCGAGGAGTAATGCTGCAAGCTGAAACTTTACACAGGAAATAAAGGAAAATAAAGAATTTGTGTGCATTGTGAAGCAAATATTTAATCATAGAGTAATTACAAAATTGAAATGTGATCAAGGAGTGATGATGCATGCTGAAACTTGGAAAATAAAGACACAATAGGCTAAATAAAAAAGATTCATATAAAGCAGGATGGTTGTGGTTGTGGTTGTGGATGTACAAGGTATAGATTCAGAATATATTTGATTGAAAGAAAACAATAGTGAAGGAATCCAACAACAACGGTTTTCTAAGGGATAGTATAGCCAAGTTTAAAGCTACAATGCATTTAGCTTTCAAGTGTGATAAAAAATTTTAATTAAAGAAAAACTACTAAAAAAAGAGTAGTCGTGGAAATGAAAACGATCAGGTTTGGATAAAATTTACCACCTCCCTTTGTTTTGGAGGCATCATTTCAGAATAATCCCACCACAGTTAGTGGAGAAATCAGATACAATGAAATATAATAAAATCTTTGGAAATGAAATGCTAGAAAGTAAAAGAAGAAACATTTTATCTTATGAAACATTTATATCCACCTAAAAATAAATACGCATGGTTGAGAGAGCTTATAAAAGCGAGCTTTAATCAAATGCATTTTTCCATGTAAACTATCAACAGGATACTACTTGATTGACCAGATACTCTTTAAGCGCCAAATTCTAATACACACCTTCAAAAATTCATTTAGCACACCTTTACCATGTGCATCAATAATTTGTAGCTGTTTATCAGTTTCAGTGGATGTTTGATCATCAAAAGTAAATGCAACTATGCCCTGTAAAACAATCCAAAACGAAAATTTATACAAAGTTAAGATTAGCGGAATGAAAAACAATGAGAGTACCTTATGAGCAACTTTACTAAACTGAGTGGCAGTACTACTCAGAGCATAGATTGTATTGCTAAAAAGACTTTTTGAACCTTCTATTAAACCTATCAACAGTCCACTTGGGCTCTGCAAACAATCCACATCAGGGCACAAATTTAGAACTGATAATCACATAATAAAATCAGTCATGTAAGAAGAACAGTTGCAAACCTGCAAAATTCCCTTGCTAGAAACAGAGAGAAAGTCTTTCAAACCAAGCCTAACATTCCTAGCAAAGCCAATAGGATTTCCTATTACACCTGCAGAACCAAATACCTGCAAGTAAAAACAAATGGGCGCATAAGCAAACAAAAAATAGCAATACTACTGACATCTGCAATATACTATATTTAATAGGTACGATAATACAATAGAAAAAAGTTGACAGCTTCTGATGCAGGCTTCTCCCACTTTTGGAGTGGATGCAGTACTACGGCAACCGAAGCAGGATTCCGCTTACATTCCGGGACCAAACCTGTCTCTGTCTTTCTTTGCCATAGAATGCTGGTCGGTTCCTTGGCCTATTACTAGTTATCCTACTATTATAAATTTGTATTCGTGAGAGTTTAGGGTTAATTTTTATCGTGCGTTTTTTCGGGACAGTCGCCGACGTGTCTTCTTCCCTCCAAGGGCTGCATCCAAGATACAAGTGGTGCTTTGCTGATTATCCTCATCTACCCTTACGCCCCACCCTCCCGTCACTGCTTCCATCATCCTCCATTGCTGCAGTCACCCCTGAACAGCAGTCCTTGCTGTTTCCCAGCAGCAGCAGCCAGCCTCCAGCCACCTTCCAATCCCGTTCCTGTGTTGCTGTCGCCCAGACCACCTCTCCCAGCCATGTTCGTACTGTTCCAGTCCTCCCACCTTGCCGTCGCTGCCAAGACAGCTAGGGATCACCACCTTCCTGCTGTTCCACGGCCACCCAATCCAACTCCTTGCTGCCGCTATCCAGCACAGCAACCATGCTTGCTGTCCCCTTCAGTTTCACACCTAAAATATGACTAGAATTAGGTTAACTCTGATACCAAATGATACCAGAGTTAACAAAAACAACAATAAACAAATATATATTATTACCAATAATGCCAATAAGTGATTAAAATTGACACACTTGAAAGGAAAATAATAACAAAGTCAACAATTAAACTCAAATTAGAATGTATCTCAGGGTGTGGTGGTGATCGGTGAGGGGCGGAAGGTGACTGGATAAGAGATGAGCAATGAGTGATGAGGTGGTTGGCAAGCAAAAAATAATAAGGCAACAGATTTCAGAGTTCCGGACAACAAGTACGCAGTAGATATTGACGTCGTACAACTATCTGTGATGATGGCAGCAATAGGGGAGGGCTAGAATAGCAGCGGTAGCAAAGGTGGAGGATTGGAGCAGCGATGGCAGCAGGTATGAAGGACTGGAACAACAATGACAGTGCGTGGGAGAGGCTGAAATAGTGGCTAGGTGGTGATAAAGTGGTTCAAAATGCTTGGAACAGCAGCCAAGGCCGCACAAGGGCATTTTTCATGGCCGGAACATCAACAAGGCAGCGAAGGAACTTGATATGGGCGGTTGGAACATCAACCAAGGAGCGGGGAAGGTGGCTAGAAAGCAGAAACTGCATAAAACAACCAGAAGAGGATGTTCCGGCAGCTGCAACAGGGAAGGTGCGGCGGGGAGCAATGTGAGAGGAAGCGAAAGAGGATAAAAGAAGATAATCACTACCTTGAGAGAGAGATCCAGCTGGAGCATCACCCATACTTGGGATACAACCCTCGATAGGATAAACGAACGCCAACGATTGTCCTAAATAAACTCATGCTAAAAACTAAACCATAAGTATTAAAAAAAAAAAATAATAATAATAAATGGATAGCAAGGAGTGGCCTAGAACTGCCGACCAACTCCACAACACTGAAAAAACTTAGACCAGTTCGGCCCAGACATTAAAATGGCGACCCGCATTGTCGCGGGACTGTAGCAAATCGCGGAATGAGTGCGGCGATATAGCAGGAAGATGTTGACCTCAATTTTCGTGAGGTCTAGTATTTCTTGTAGGAGTTAGGATCTAGCCTTAGAAGTGGTGTCCGCCTCGTTTTAGTTCGACCTATTTCCGTCCTCTTTTGGAGGTTTCGCGTGTGTGGTATCGACTTCTAGCACTTAGAAGGATGAAACCGACATGAGGAAGCCCAAAATGGATGGATTCCTATAGGACCTTTCTGAGCCTTAGGTTGGCCTTCTGCACAATTCGCACTCCTGCGCGCACCAGCTTCGCAATTTTGAGAGTTGACGTGTCCGATCTCCGCAATTCGCATTGCCTGCACCGTTATTTGCCGAGGGCTCGAGTAAACCACTTGTGACGATCGATCGCGGGTCGAATTTTTGTGAAATTTGAATTTCGACGCGTTTTTGACCCGATTGTCGACGACGTCGTTCGAGCGACCCCGGATGATGAAACGGACTGCGCCAACGCGTCCGGGACGTCGATTTTATATATATATATATATATTTATGTATATGTTAATTAACCCTTTTACCCGCTTCCCGCTTTCCTCTTTAAGCCCTAAATCCTCTCACGTACGCACCCGAGCTCTGTCTACTTTCCCTCTTCCTTTCGCGTGCCTAGCCCTCTCCCTTTCTCGTTCTCGAGCCGACCGAGCTCGTCTTCCTCCGTGCGAGGGAGGGTTGACCCCGTTCGTCCTTGCCTGACATGCTGCTGCCCG